TTTCATACATTTATTAAACAAAAGTACCAACCACCCCAACACTATATCCCCCCTGTTTTAACTTTTCTGTCATGCCCCATCATTTCCCAGTTTCTTTCCCCCCTTTCATTCTACTAATGCCTCACGTACTTCCCCCCACACTTACATTCTGCTCTTCTTCCTCCAAAAAAGAGGGGTATACCTCCCTGACCAGTGCATGAAAATTACTCCCTTTCTGTTTCTTCTTAACATTTAAAAGTTCCTCAAAATATTCTCGCATCTACCTAATACCTCCATCTCCCCATCTACTAACTCCCCTACTCTGTTTTTTTAACTGACAAATCCATATTTTCCCTAGGCTTTCTTAACTTGTTTAAACTCACTCCAAAATTTTTTCTTATTTTCATTAAAATTTCTTGACAGTGCCTCTCCCACTCTATCATCTGCTCTCCTTTTGCACTCTCTCACCACTCTCTTTACCTTTCTTTTACTCTCCATATACTCTGCTCTTCTTATAACACTTTCTGCTTTGTAAAAACCTCTCGAAGCTACCTTTTTCCCTTTTTATCACACCTCTACTTCATCATTCCACCAATCACTCCTCTTTCCCTCCTGCCCTCACCCTCCTATAACCACAAACTTCTGCCCCACATTCTAATACTGCATTTTTAAACTATTCCAACCCTCTTTAACCCCCCCCCCCACCATCATCTTTGCACCACCCCACCTTTCTGCCAATAGTTGCTTATATCTCACCCGAACTTCCTCCTCCTTATTTTTATACACTTTCACCTCCCTTTTACTTGTTGTTGCCACCTTCCTTTTGGGCCCCATCTACCTCTTACTCTAACTGTAGCTACAACTAAATAATGATCCGTATATCAGTTCCCCCCTCTATAAACATTGTACATCCTGGAGCCACCCATCAACCTTTTATCCCCCAATACTAATCTAATAAACTATTTCATTACGTGTACATCATCCCTTGTATTTTTATTTATCCTCTTTTTCATAAAAATATGTATTACTTATTACCAAATTTCTTTTCTACCATAGCTCAATTAAAGGCTCCCCATTTATGTAGATATAAATCCATATGTTATTTTTTTTAACCCTTTGGGGCCTAGTTCCTAGGCCTTTTGTGTTATCCATATGCTCTTGCGCTACCGTCCACAAGGATGGATATGAGGTGCACAATAAACTAGCCACTTCAGTGGCAAAATCTAAAAAAATCTATGCATCGGCGATATTGCTGACTTTGACTCCCATTTAGGCCAATTACATTATTCCAGTCGACCAAATTCTTAGCTATTTCACTAGTATTCCTTCTATTCTAGCGACTGAGCACAAGAAATTGCCAAGTCAATTGTTTCAACTACAAAATAAAGTGTTTGGGAAAATTGGTAATTTGGGCCAATTTAATGCAAAGTTCAAAATATTCCAATTTCAAAATATGGTCCAGAATAAACAATGCAGACTTTCCCTGGCATAAACTAGCTTTTCCCTCTGTTATTAGTTATGTTTTCAGGCTTTATAAATGAATTCCATTTTGATTTTTTATTCCATAAGAATTTTTATTCAAACCAAAAAATAGAAGATTTAACATTTCTGCTACTTTGAGCTAGTTTCAAGCTATTTTCAGTACTAAAAACCAATAAAAAAATCATCTATACTTCTGTAATATATCTTCCATTCTATCAAATGAGACCAAAAAAATCGCAAATACAACTATAAAAAATATATGAAAAAACATGAAAAGTTGCTGTTTTAATTGAAAATTATGGTGTCGTTTTTTTCTCTCATTATGCACTGTGTGCTGCAGGATTTGTTTTATGTGGTCCCACACTACCAATAGATGTATTCTCTCATATCTAGGCCCAAATTTTACCGCTCACAGCTTTTCAGCGTGAGCTGAGCTCTTTGGCGTAGATCTACGGTTTTGACCCCCAACGTAAAGCCGTAGATCTACAGCACGGACCCTGAAAGGGTTTACACACAATGCAAACAGTATTTAGATAGAGGTTAGAGAAGTTATAATTGCTTTTATTGTTTTTAAAAAGGTATATGATAGGGTGGATAGGGGGAGCAATGTTTTTAGATGTTGCAAGTGTATGGAATAGATGATAAGTTAGCAAATGTTTTAAAGATTTTTTAAAGAGGGCAGTGAGGCTCAGAGAGAGAGAGATTACTTTCCAGTAAAAGTAGGTCTTAGACAGGAATGCCATGATATCACCATGGTTGTTTTAATATATTTGTAGATGGGATTGTAAAAAAAGTGTTTGCTCGGGTGTTGGAGAGAGGGACAGGATTAAAATATATGGATTTCTAATACAATTGGGAGTTGACATAGTTACTTTTTGCTGATGATACTATGATTTTGGGAGATTTGAAGAGAATTTGGGAAAGATTAGTGGATCATTTTTGGGAGGGTGTGTAAAGGAAGGAAATTGAAAGTGAACATAGACAAGAGTAAGCTGATGGGGGTATCAAACTGTCAAATGGTTCTATGAGAGATAAAAGTGAACAAAGAAAAAAAGGTGGGTGATGCATTGAGGAATTGCTGGGACAAAGAACTTTATGGAAGCAAGAAAGGTAAATGAATTAGAGAATAGTGGTACCAACATTGTTTTTATGGGTGTGAAGCACAAGCTTTGAAAGTGCAGCGAGGAAGCAGTTGGGGGCAGTAGAGATATCGTGTTTGAGGGCAGTAAGTGGTGTAAATATTATTCAGAGAATCAGAATTTGAAGATTAGGAAGAGGAAATGGGGGGCCGAGGAGGGGTTATCAGGGTGGTTTGGACATTTAGAGAGGATAAAGAAAAGTAGGATGACTAGAAGAGTAAATAAATCTTGGGGTGGAGAGAAGGGGTAAGAGTCATCCTAGGGAAGATTGGAGAAGAGGGGGTAAAGGAGGTTTTGGGAGTATTAAGATGTACATGCAAGCAAGCTTGTAAAAATGTTTTTAGACAGGAGAAAACTGGAAGCAAGTGGTTTTTATGGCTGACATGCTGTTGGAGTGTGAGCAAAGTAATATTTATGGAGGGATTCAGGAAAACCATTAGTAGACTTGAATCTTGGGGGTAGGAAGTACAGTGCCTGCACTCTGAAGGTGTGGTGGGGTGGGTTGTAGTTTCGAGGGCCATCTGAACTGTGATGCTGGAGCACTTCTAGCAAGACAGAGATTGACTGAGTGTCAGTGAAAGTGTTTTCTTCTTTATTGGGTCGCCCTTCCTTGATGGGAGACAGTAGGAGTGTTAAATTTTTTTTTTTTTTCAACAAGTCGGCTGTCTCCCACCGAGGCAGGGTGACCCAAAAAAGAAAATCCCCAAAAAGAAAATACTTTCATCATCATTCAATACTTTCACCACACTCACACATTATCACTGTTTTTGCAGAGGTGCTCAGAATACAACAGTCTAGAAGCATACACATATAAAGATACACAACATATCCCTCCAAACTGCCAATATCCCAAACCCCTCCTTTAAAGTGCAGGCATTGTACGTACTTCCCATTTCCAGGACTCAAATTAAAAAAAATTTGTAATAATCCAGCTCCTAGAAATGTTGTCATGAATGTTACAAAATATTTTGCTATCAATACTGACATTACTTTCTAAACAGGAATACAAGAATCCATATGATTTTGGACAATCAGAGAATTCGAAACTCTTTCTTGGTTTAACCCATGGCAGGTAAGTTTTTTTTTTTTTTTTTGTATGTTATGAGTTTTCTCAATTTTTATCAGTTTTATGCCAGTAATGTCCTTACCATTTGTCACCTGTAAGTTAGAGCATATTTACTTTCATCCTAGGTAGTAGGTTGATAGCAACCTCCCAGGGAGGTACTACTCTCCTACCAAGTGAGTGTAAAACAGAAGAAGCCTGTAATTGTTTTACATGATGGTAGGATTGCTGGTGTCTTTTTTTCTGTCTCATAAACAAGCAAGATTTCAGGTATGTCTTGCTACTTCTTACACTTAGGTCACACTACACATGCATTTACAAGCATATATATACACACTCCTCTGTATTTTCTTCTATTTTCTTACTATTTCTTATTCTTGTTTAATTTCCTCTTATCTCCATGAGGAAGTGGAACAGAATTCTTCCTCTTTAAGTCATGCATGTCATAAGAGGCGACTAACATGCCAGAAGCAAGGGGCTAGTAACTCCTTTTCCTGTATACATTACTGAAGTTAAAAAGAGAAAATTTTTTTTTTATGCCACCCTGCCTCGGTGGGATATGGCCGGTTTGTTGAAAGATGATGATTTACTTTCCCTTTGCAATAGCATCACAAAATATGTGAGAGACGACTCATTTAGACTGAATCAAGTTACTGTATGAATGTTTCACTAAGTGTGGCACAATGGCATATTCTGAGGTCCTTGTGCTTTATCTGTCTACTAGTGGTTACATCAGTAATTATATATACAGTGACAGTGACTTGTTGTTTCTCTAGGTCCTATAAATGTTGCAGTGGACATCAAGTAGTAACCTGTGCCAATATTTAAAATTTTGCTTTTGGCTTTAATAAATTGTATATTTTGGCAAAACAGTAGTCACCAAGTGGTGTTGATTCTAATCAGTATTACTATTATATAACTTAATATTTGTATAATTGCATAGTTTTTCTCTTTACCATTCAAGCAGAGGATGGAGACACATTCTTCTTCCATCATGGCATCATGGCACTTACCTGACGGAAATGGATTAACTTGGCCCAATGCTATCATCACTGCTGCAAGTCACGACAAAGCTGCATGACAGACACCTTATTTGTTCTTTTAAATTAGACTGTTAATTATTACATATATCTTTTAGCCACAAGACTTTCATATATTCCGGGAACCAGTTCCAGTATTTTTACCAGAAGGCTGTCTTACATTTCCAGAAAATGGTGCTGTATTTACCATTGTATAGCATTGCTTTAATCAATTTCTTCCAATTAGATACAGAGAAAACAAAGCTTCCTATTTTTTTTTTAAATCAAATTTCACTAGTGAACTTGTAGAAATAATTAGTGATGCATTAATTTTATAAATGATGAAAGAGAAGAGGTAGCGACTTACAGTAACACAGATATATGCTGAGAGAATGGAGCCGCCTCATGGGAGGTGTTCCTTGATGCTAGTAAGGGGCTCCTTGATCCAAGGAATTGAACCTGACCTTCTTCCCCAGATTGAGCCTTATTGCTGCCCATTCCTCAGACAGACACTGACTCCCTTTAGGGTTTTTTCCCATGAGTGTAATAATAATGAATTATTATTATTACCATCATAACTAAGCACTAAACCCACTATGGTCTTACAGCACTGTAGGGTATGGGTGTGCTAAAGGTGTATATTCCTGAATCAGACACACACACAATAAACAATGAGAGAAAAAGCCATAAATTAACCCTTTGACTATCGCAGGCCCCCTTTTTGAAACTGTCATTTTTATGTCGCTTTAGACCTTCATTTTTTCTATCAAATGAGTACAAGAAACTGCCATTTACTGATTTGAACTACCCCAAAAAAGTGGTTAGAAATTGGCCATTTGGCCAATTTCATGGCAAAATTAAAAAAGATGCCAATTTCAAAATAGAGTCCAGAATAAACAAAGTAGAAAATTATTGGCACTAAAATAAACATATCCTCTGTTTTATTAGTCAAAATCTCTAGGCCCCTCTTATTTTTACTATTGCTTTCTATTTTGATTTTTTATTTATACAAAAAATAGAAGATTTATATTATGCAGACTATTGCATTATTGTAAAAATGGTATAAATAATATCAGTGCACTAGTAAAGGAATATTAGACTCCCAGTTGATGTGTATTGGACGTGTGGTGTGATTTGCTTACTTCTGAACATTGGTAAAAATCAAACATTTCCGCTACTTTGAGCTCAATTTCAAGGTCGTTTTCATCGTGAAAGTAATCAAAATCATCTCTATTTCTGCAATATGTTTTCCATTTTATCACTTGAGACCATGAAAATGAGAATACAAAAATAAATACTATACAAAAATACACCTCAAAGTTGGCGTTTTAATCCAAAAAATGTCAGTTTTTTTTTCTCATTATGCACTGCATGCTGCAGGATTTTTTTTATGTGGTGCACACTGACCACACAGACCCATTCTCTCACATGTGGGCCTACCAGCTTTCTCCTGCTTGATTTGAAGCCGCCGCTAGAATTATTGAGTATACATATATACGTCCGAAACACTGGCTCGCAAGACATACATATACAACCAAAACAGTCAAAGGGTTAAGTAGGCAAGTACTTATGAGTTACATATATATTACCATATAAAAACTATAAAATTATTCAGCTTTTCAAAAAATTTTATAATCTGAATCTGTAGAAATGGTTCAAGGTTCTTAGTTTAATTTCCTTGAGCTATCTTGCTATACACCAGGTATCCCTCAACGATGTAACAAGACATTTTAATAGTGTATATTTTTGTTTTAGAAAAGACACTGATGCACTCAACTAGTCATTTTTTTTAGAGGAATAAACTTTTAGCAGACTTTGCCACATTTAAAAGATTATTTATCATCTTGAGATAAGCAGAAATAATATATTAATATATACTTTGTAAGTTTATTCAGATTTTGTAAAATGTTGGTAATGAACTGACACATTCACAAGTGCAAATTCCATATAGATCATGCAACACTGTTCATCATGCAGGTACTTCGCTTTGTATTCAATAAATGTATGGCAGAATAAATATCTTATAATTGTAGGGTTTAGACATATTTAAGTAACATTGCATTACTCGTTGCTAACTAATGATGTAATATTTTATAACATTAGTCGGTGTGGAAATACGTAATTTTTTTTTTATTGTACATGATTTTTTGTCTAGTCTTTTTTAGCAATGCCTCTTCAAGGGGGGCTCCTTGGCGTGGTGAAGAGGCTCTTGGTCTGAGGAATTAGACCTGTCGGTCTCCTTCCTTAGACCGAACCTAATTACCCCCCAATCCCCCCTTCCCTAAACCATCTTCCCCTTTTTCCTTTCCTCCTCCTCCTCCTCTCCACCCCTCCCTTTTGCCCTTCCTTTTTGGCCTTTGGGATTTTTTTCCCCAGGCGTTCAGTTCTTGGGTAAAG